ATCGAACGCTATCTTGTCCTGAGGCGGTGTAACGCGAAGGGTCCGCCAACAGAACCGGTCTCTTAGCGTGGTGCCGTCACGTCAGCGGGGGGTTCACCGTGCAAATTGATTTGCGTTCACACCCCAGTGGATCCGCAGGGCACGAGACTAGTACCCTCTTGCGAGGACCCCTCTCCTGTATTCATCCTTCAGAAGCACATCATACATTTATTTACGCATTTCTCTGTTCTACGAGCAGCTGGCATTGTTCGCCTCATTGAATTACCGGAAGCATGTGCTGCCGGTTATCACGCCCGTCGATCGTCCTGTTTCGTGTTGTCGGATGCACGTCGTGGATGCGCTGGATATGCATTGTTTATTGCTAATACCGTCAGTAAAGCGACAGACTCGTTATAACCCTTTAACTAATAAGCCTCCATTAAACTATCTTCCTGATGTAACATGCTGTTATGAATACTAAGAGGAGATAAACGACGATTAAACGACTATACAGGATGTCCTCGTATAAATGGCCACCTTTTTATCTTGTAACAGAGATAGACTTAATAAATATGTTCTCAAATGAATCGGTTTTAATTAAATTTTATTGTAAGTACAGTGGTCATTGAAAAATTATTTATATTAGAGAACGGAGAGATATGCATAATTTTTGTACAATAAATAAATATTTCGATATAATAAAAGTTATAGCGTTCGTTATAATGATATATGATATACAAAATTATTTTATAAATTATATAAGTTATTTTGATTTAAAGTTTTGCGGGCAACTACTACCTTTTTTCGACCCTGCGGTGTGGCCAACTTCTGACTCTCGCATTATGATTGCCATGATAACATGAGATTTGTTCGCGTCGCATCCTTCAACTCGATCCAACATATTCTTATCATAGCTCACTTCAACGAGTGCATTGAAGAAAGTAGGAGCTATGACAGGAGCTTTTGGAGCATATTGGAGTATGCGACGCGAACAAATGTTATCCTCAGGGATATAACATTTGTTATCATCAGGGTTGAAACTGAAAGATAGTAATCGCCCTCAAAATTTTAACCCAAAATATCTTATATAATTTGTAAAATATAGTTTTGTTATCACACATTGTTGTATTCGTTAAAACAGATACTATACAACTTTATTATATCAAGTATTTACTTTATCGTGTAAAAATTGTTATAAATCTCTCCATTCTATAACATAAATAATTTTTTCAGTGGTCATTTTGTGCTTACAATAAAGTTTAAAGTCGTTTAATTTGAGACCATATTTATCAAGTCTATCTCTGTTAGTTTGTGAGATAAAAAGAGTTATTTATACGGGGACTGTATAATACATTGAAAAAGATTATAAATAATTAATGCAAAGAAGTTTATTACTACTAAAGAACATAAAAATGAAAATTAATAATTTTTTATTTAATCTGTCCCGAAAAGTACAGAGTTATGTTACTTTATACTACTTATTACTAATCTTGAAAAATAATTATATGGAATATTTTATATTTGATGAATTCGTAAAATTCTTCTTCCCTCGTTTAAATTCGTGTTTTTGCTGATAAAAATGATTCTAAGCTTGCATGGCGTCGAATTCTAATAAATCTGTCATCCTTCGCAGGATCATTCAATCCTTGACGACAACGTTTCATCAACAATCGTCGTAACTCCGTAGCTTTTGTCCCTCGCGGAAAGTTGAAGAAATTCGGGCGCACTTGTCGGAAATCCGGGGTGCGCACTCTTCGGGACGTGGTGCTAAATTCGATTACTTTCATTGTTGAGATAACTCAGTTATCCCTCCGAGCTGACTAACGTAAAGAGGCGACTGTCCGGGGTCACGTACCTTCTTCTTATCCCTCTTAATCTCGTCCAATTCAGCGACAGTCCCTGCCATTTCGTTATCAAACCTTAAAGGAGTCCTATTTTCCTTCCCTTGTTATACACAGCATGAAATCTCTGTGATTTAAAACCGAAAAATCTTTACGCAATCCAGGTTAAATCCCTAACATCATGATCCTTTTTTTTCTTAACTATCTGCGAGATAAAAGATTTTAAATTTCAATTTTATTAAGATAAATTTCTGGGAAGAAATAACCTATGCGTATATGTAATCATATATGAATACGTATAATTGTTTAGTACAATGTTAAGATAGAAACACAGGATTTTTATATGAATAAATCAACTAAGTACGAAAAACTCCAGTTGCGGTCAAAGTTAGATGTTGGAATAATATACGTCATTATGTATTTAAATAATTTTTATCTTAGATGACTGCGCGCTAATTTTTTTTTCGGTAATGTAACACAATCGAACTAAAATCATAACATAGGTTGTGAAATTTGATTTTCTTATGCTGTTTGGAAAAAATGTAGTTTCCTATAATTTTTGATACTCTAAATCCAAAACTGTAAGTGAAACTTCTATCACGTCAGGCTTTTGGGAAAAGTGAAATTGGAATGCTTAAAAAACGTGTTTTTTTTTTGCTATCCTTGAAAATTAGCTGACGGATTCGATGTGTGAGAAATTTTTTAAAGGATTCAAATTAATGATTAGACATTATATTATAACATAAAAATATCGAATCTTTTACAGTCAGCGTCGAATCTCTGGTTCATTTTGTTTTTGGGAATGCGTTGATGTCGTCACATAGTGCCAAGTTTTAGTAATGTATACATGTTACAGCAAGGTTGGCAAGAAACGCGTTATATATACTTGTAACGCTGTTACTTTGTTGATCGTTATTTTATTATAATAACGATTTGGTAATGACATTGTGAATTTTTTATGATGGTAATGGTAACATCAGAGTTAGAAAAGTCAATCGTTACTTGTAATGGATTGAAAAAGTCATTTGTTACTGAAAAATATAACTCCTAATTTATAACGCGTTACTTCTTAGTAACGAGTAACGTTACGCGTTACTCGTTATACTTATAACTTTTTCAGTGTAACACGTAATAGTGACAAATTACTTTTCAAAGTGACTTTTCTAACCTTAGTACAGCCTTAGCGTTTAATTAGTTAGTGTTACCGTCATAAAAAATTGCAACATTGTCATCAAATTGTTTACTGTAAAAAGTAACAACTGAAAACTAACTGAAAAGTAACGTTTGCCAACCTTCTAAATTTATATGTATATTTGAAATATACATATAAAATTACACTATAATTACACTATAAAATTACAATAGTATCTTATAATATTAGTAACAAAATATTTTTAAACATGATGAATGACACAAACTTTTAACGATTTTAGACTAGTATCGTTCCTGAGAAGGGATGAAGTGAGGAGTAGAAATGGTAATAAGCATGAATACCGACTCATTTCAATTTCAAGCCAAAAGTACCCGGTCCTACTCCTGTATTCTGTAACTCGTTATGCAATCGTTATGAACATATAACGAGCATAACGAGTTACAGAGTACAGACCCTGGACAGCTCTGATATACACATCCGATTCTGCAAACCGAGCACCAAAATCCTTTTCCCGGATATCCCGTATTCCGTGTGGACATCTTCATTATTCAATCATCAAGGTTTCGATAATATTCATTGCAATAACCAATAAGTAGTAACAAAATACCGATTTTTTTTTGTAAATGTGTTTATGATTTGAAGCAGACCGATGAGAATAAATCCAATTATAAGAGAAATCCTATTCTTGGGTTAAAGCAGATCTCAGTACTTAAATATTTCTATGTGAATTTATATTACACATCTGATTCTGCAAACTGCGCATCAAAATCTTTTTCAGTGAAAAAGATTTTGATGGATTTTGAAACGCGATCATGAACCATATTAAAGTAATAATATCGCATACTAAATTATTAAGCAGTCCAAGAACTTTTTATGCTGATAAACATCTTTATAAGAATATTATCTCACATTAATATTAGATTATTATAAGAATAATAATCTAATGTTAATGTGAGAATCTTAAAATTATAATTAATAAAATTATTAACAATAAAACTTATTTTAACAATAAAACTAGATTAATAATAATTTTAATTTTCAATATTCATGTATGGCATCTCATTTTAGTTAAAACAGCCAATTTCTGGGAATCACAAAGTTTTAGAAAAAAATAAATTTCAGATAAAGGTAAAACGCGGTTTCGAGGCAGAAGTATTTTGGTCATATCGTTTTTCTTCTAAGTGGAGGTGCAAAAAAGATATGAATGTAACCTCTATTTTTTTTAACGGAATTATACGATTCTTTTACACAATATGATTCCTCTAATTATTTTGCATATGTATAAAAGTATTAAAATAGAATATAAAAAATCAATAATTTACAAGATATTATATACCTTATACTTTATTCTGCCACATGTTGACATAAAATGTTAAATGTCTCGTAAACTGTTAATTTTTTTATAATCGTACTTAATACATTTATGAACAGAATAATGAGATAAACCAATTGGTGTAAAGAAAACATATAGTTGCTTTAAAAAAATATGAGTAGGCAAAATGGATACTTTTTTAAATGAGCAACTATGTGTTTTCTTTATACCAATTAATTTATCTTATTATTCTATGTATAAAATTAATAAAGAACTATTATAAAGAATCAATAGTTCACGAAACATTTAACATTTTATGTCAACATGTACCAAAGTAAAGTATAAATTACTTTGAATTAGTTTTTTAATATTTCTACTTTAATGCTTTTATTAAACTCACGATCAGTAAACACCACGCCGTGCCGCGCCGCGGCGCCGGTTCCTACAGACTAGCACCGGATTTTCCTTTTAAAATGGAACATCCTGTATATGTATAATTACATATAATTGTGTAAATTATTATGTCATCTAATTATATACGGGCATATTTCATATATATTTATATATAGTATCTTATATATATATTTAAATATGATTATATATAGAACTTTTTTCCCAAATTTATACATATGTTAAAAATTTTTGTAGCAGGAATCTATTAGCACATATAATATATTACAATAAATTAAACAAATGTTATATATTTTTTATGCAGATGTCAAGCTGGTACCGGAAGATGCGTTGTGGACAAAGCGCATCGAAATCAATGTCAGGCTTGTCGTTTGAAAAAATGTATGCAAATGGGAATGAATAAAGATGGTGAGTGACAACATATGTCTTTTCAATTAATTTAAGCAAGAAACTCAAAATTTAAAATAATGTTCAAAAACAATTATAATAATGGGAGAAAGAAAGAAGTAGGTGTAGAGAATCAAATAAATCTATAAATATAGCGTTGTATATACATTCGCGCGCGCGAATGTTATTAAGAATAAAGTTTCTTGCCGTACGATAAATTTCAAATAGACGTATGCGATTTCCCGGATAAAAATCGACGTGTTGCTGCGACGCGATCAAATTCAATCGAAAAGATCTCCCTTTGCGACATCAAGTTCGGCAATAAGAAAGTTATCAACGGGACGACGTTGAAGGCCGAAACGAGAATGCAGGAAGGGAAGAATAAGAGAAAGACGATGAGACAGGTGCGCGCCCGTGTCTCGCCGGGAGGCATTAGAAATTGAATCGGAAGATGTTCGGCGCAGCCAGACTTCCGCTTGTACAAGCTTACCCCGCCTTTATCCAGTTATTTATGTCGCGAACATAAAGGGTCCGCCGAATTCCACTTTCCTACTGCTGATTGATTCCGGTATTATCCACGAAAATGGATAATCCGGCGGATCCATAACTCCTATTCGGTGACAATGTCTCGAGAACTCGCAATGAGATCCCAATATCTTTGCAAGGGCGATCGACGCAAGACGATACTAATAATGTATCATTCTGATCTGTTGATTGATCAATTCTTTCTTTTTGAACAATGTCTTCTTAAAAAAAGAGAGAGGGCAAAAGAAATTTGAACTTTGTCTATAATATTCCTAACAATAAATATCAGAAAATGCGACAAGTGATAAAGCATTCAATACTTTGAATCTAAAAATGACTTATAAGACAATTAAAAACAACAAGATAAACACACAAATGTATTAAATCAATAGAACTCAATGAGATACCCAAGTATAATACATCAGAAACTGTGAAATCGTGAAAGTGCTTAATAATGAAATTCTTACAATTGTCACAGATCTACCCATTGGCTCTTCAGATTTACGTGGGGAAGGTGAGCGGAATAATTACGACAAGCCATATTAGTGCGGGTGAAAGACACTCTTGTGTCACAAGCACCAAAAAGGAGACTCGTGGCGTCCGCCGTACTTTAATGGTCGCGCGATTAGGGCACTTATTGTCGGCGAGCCTGGCGCAATTTTTCCCGGGTTCCCTTTTAGCAGCGGCTCGGCAACGAGCGCGCAGTAATTTCGTAATAATAAAAAGCGTGTCGGCTCGCTTTACCTCCGGCGTGCAACCTGCTGAGCGGCTTAATGGGGTCCTCTTGTTTCGTCAGACCTCCGTTTCTTCTCTCTCTCTCTCTCTCTCTCTCTCTCTCTCTATCCTTGCCGCTCTCACTATCCTCGCGACATGTTTCACACCAGAAAAGATAAACGCCCCGTACGCTCTGTTTCCATTTAATTTGCATTCACTTCGCTGCGAGAGGCCGTCCTGCTTTCTGACCACCCCTTTTCTCAACTTCTTCGCTTTTTTAATTGACAATCCCTTTGGTCACTACTATGTATAGAATTCTTCATCATTATTTTTATTATTTTCATTCTTAACGCGGATAATAAATTCTCTTCACAATTCTATCTTCTCTAAGAATATCTTTTAAAAAATACTATCGATTTTTTAAATTTGTTTTCATTAACTATTGTGTAAATATTATATAATAGATAAATTAATAAGAAAATAATGCGTTACAGTATATGAAATCTCATATATATATATATATAATATATATACATATATAATATATATACATATATATACAATACATATAACGTAAAACGATTAAAAAACAATATTATTTTTCTGTAGTTCGATATTAGTAATTAGATCACATATGGATTATGAAAGTTGATTATTAACTAAAACTAAGTAACAATCATTAAAAACGTAATATTATTACTCATATCTACAAGTATAGTTTTATTGTCATCCCCCGTAATCTTTTTTGCGGATTCTCAAACTAGAACGCGCGAACGCCCTCGTGCAGATTATTTCTCTCATTTGCATTGTCGCCGCACCGCAGGAGAGCACCCTTTGCCCGACGTTGTCCCGCTCGTCCTTAGTCCTTTCTGGTTATCTCCATCGGCGAAGTCGCGAACGGGAAGCGCCGAAGGGTGCGAACGAGTCTCCGCGTGCGCAATAGATGGTCGGCTGCACGTTGCATACGTTTATTTCCTCCAATTAACCCTTCGAGATTCGTCGAAGGCCACGCGACTGTCGCTAACGACCGCAATGTTTACGGCGGCAACGAGAGAACACTTCGCTGCGGCGAACCTCACGAGAATGAGCTTGCAAATGCGCTTGATTGGCTAACGTGAATAAAAACGACGGCGCTTTCGCATTAACCCTGGCGATCCCAATCGTTTATTTCTGCAAGTTATTTACGGAATATTTTAGAAAAAAGAAACACGTACAAGATATCACGACTATCCCAAGTGATACTTTTTTTCATATAGAGTGATACTTTTTTTGATAAAGAATGCTTTAGATTTCCTTTAATCAAAATGAAAAACCAGTAGATGTTTTTATACGTTATATAAAAAATACGAAGGAATTGCGAAAATTATATCGCGTATCTATGAAATTCGTTATCATAGAATCTCTTTCTCTCTCTCCCCCCCCCTCTCTCTCTCTCTTTCGAACCATTGCCTTTGAAAAATGTATTGATACTGATATCTCAATTTTGAAAAACTTATATATTTATTATTTATCAATTATACTCATCTGCAGTAGAAATTATTATCATCATCATTATCAGAATATATTTTCGTTCTCTCATGGATGATTGGTAAATAAAACTTTTAGGTGGTCGTACTGCGTTACATATTACAAACAATAAGCGTTGCTAGTTTGCTGCGTGCCTTGTTGGATTCACGCGTGTCAGATGCAGACCGCCAGCGTGATATAACATGGCATTACGTGAGTTTGACGAGAGGGCGGCAGACAACCGCAAACCCCCGTCGTTCCCCATTCCCGTGAATCCGTTCAACTAATATTTCAATAATGTTTCAATCATTCACGAATTTGAAGAGCGGCACAATGCTCTTATTGTTCGTCGAACGTATCGCCGTTTACAATATGTTTTCGTTCGAGGTTGCCAGTTTTTCCGAAAATGAACAAAAAAGAAAAAATTGAAAAAATGCGACGTGATGAATATCTATCGTAAAAATTTCACCGCGCTATGTTACGATATGTTTCGTTAGCAATCAATCGGAAAAACGATTCGATTTTTAACGAAATACCAGTTTTGCAAATACCACGCTGGTTTTATTTACTATCTCATCCCTATTATTATGTAATGGTTGATATATGTACATGTATAGAAAATATAGTTATCGCTTTCACAATTATGCTAAATCGCAAAACAATTGTACTAAATATTGCACAACATAACGGTAGTTCTTTTCTTATGTAATAGCATTCGACAAATAATATTATTTTAAAGAAAATTGATATTTTCGAACACTTTGAAATGTTTATTTATCATTTTTTAATAGAACACTGATACTATTATTCGTAATATAGCTTTATTTGTTCAATATTACAATTTTCCCTTATATTATCACAAATGACCCTGTATTATAAGGTAATCATGACAAAGAATATAAGTTAACAACTTTTTTCATATTTGATTAAAATTGAATGTATTACCTGATTATTTTGCATATATTTAAAATATGAGATTTATACATATAACATTTCAAAAAAGAAATTTTCAAATGAATTAAATAGTTACAAAGTTACGGAAGATTTAAGTTTAACGTTGTATTTTCTGTCATAATAACCCGTAGGGATCCTACATTTGTTTCACTTCACTTATATATGAATTAGTGTATTATATGCATAAAAAAACAGATCTAAAAGTATAATAATGCCGCAGCGCTGACAGCGCGCTCCACAAACGCAGCCAATATATCATTTAAATATTTTAAATATTTTTGCAAAAGTTTAAAATAAATAATTAAAATGAAAATATCCCGTGTACATACATACATATACGTACTGTGTATACATGTTACATATGTGTATATATTTTTATATTTGTGTTTATGTATATGTATATACATATATTATATTGATAAACATGAAAAAATAACAAATTGTAGCTGTTCAGAATGAACGTCAACCAAGGAATACTGCCACTATCAGACCGGAAGCTCTCGTAGAGATGGATCAAGAACGAGCCTTACGCGAAGCTGCCGTCGCCGTAGGTGTCTTTGGGTAAGTAATTATTTGTGTTTCTTTTGTTAATTCTTAGTTACTCTAATTTATCTCTTAATCTAATCTTATTGCTGTGTCGTTACATTTTTAAAAATAAATCATTAAACATTAGAAATCAATGATTTAAAAAAAAGCGGAAAGAAACAAAGGCTGAAATAAACGAGATTGAATAAAATGTCACCAAAAAGTATCGCCGTTAACAGTAACTAAGACATCACACAAATCGGTAGCGATGTTATCTTAAGAATGTACCTGAAGCTCTTGAAATGCAATTATTTCGAAAAGGCAAGAGTAGGTATTGAATATTAGAATACTTGCGAATCGCGTCTTAAAGGCTGTACGAAATTTCAATTTATACACAGTCGATTAGAGAACGGTAGGTGATGGAGACAACGATCGATAGTCACTTGTCGACGGATGCAACGACAAGAGCAACGAGAGCCGACGACGTTGTTGGCACGTTTGATCTTCTGCTGCGCACCAGGCTTACCTTTCGCCGTTATGAGCGACACGCCGAGCGTGATCTATCATGAAAAATTACCTTTGACTAGCAGCCCGAGGCATAGCGTTTTTCAGGTAACCGGTTGTCCAGGTTGGAACTAATGGAAAATCCATAGAGCGCCAAGGGGTGAATGTTAAAAGCGACGATTGGCGTCCTGATGCGGCGCAGCGCGTCATTCTCGGCGAGTTATTATACCGTGCGTGTTACACAAGCGACCAATCTTTCCATGATATAAGCTTATTCTTAAATTAATTTGTTACATTCCTGAACATTAAAAAATTTAAAGGATTGAGAGTCAAAAGTGATATCCAGAAAAAGTTTTTGATTAATAATTTAAGTTATATATATGTATCAAATCACCTAATTGTTACAAATTTGCAAGAGGAAATTTCATATTTTAATATAAAAAAATACGTAAAAGATTACTTTTTTTCTATAGTTGTGTGATTGACGTACGATTCAATTGATTTAAAAAATTTGACGAGCTTAAGAAATTAAGTCTTTGCTACATATATACAGTGCCCTCGCATGGGGCACCTATCTTTTTGTAATTTTTCCGTGTTTTCGTATATTTCATAATTGGTTTATGTAACGCATTTAGTACCTTTTTTCATGTTCTATCTATATATACATGAATAACATAAATATATAATTATTTTTTATCAATAATAAACTATAAACAAAATATGAATTAAAATGAGCACTTTTTAAAATTTATGCTGGAAAAAAAGATAATAAATATGTTCTGAAAATCTTTACATTATAATTTTTGAGATCATTAATTTCAAATCTGCACTCAAAATTTAAAAATTGAAAATGTCAGATCCAATTGGTAGCTAAAATAATTGAAAATTTTGGAAAATTATATTTAGCCGAAAACATTATATTTGCGATATATTTAAAATTTCTCACCACACATCCTCGTTGTTAATTTTAGATTATGTTAATAGCGAGATTTAAAAAAATAGCAAATAATTCTTCAATATGAGATCTGTTATGAATTTTCAAGTTTGATCTGCGGATTTGAAATTAAAAATTTGAGAAATTGTTAAGTATAAAAAATTTTAATTATGTTTGAGAACATAAGTAACATAGTTTGACTTTTTTTCAATTTGGCTGTTATATTGAATCTGTCATTTTAATTCTTCAAATTTGATCTCGCATACATAATAATTCCAAAAGCATCTTTCATATACTTAAGATTCAACAAACTATTCCAGTCGATGCCAATTAAAAATAACATAGTACTGATATTATTTTACTTTTAGTGTCTTTAGTGTCACTTTAGTGTTGTTTTACTTTTGGTGTCGACTGAGACATTTCAAAAAATTGTGAAACAAAGAATCAAATAAGTTGGGATAGAGCATCTTTGACAATCGGATGCGTATTTGTGTTAATGCTACGGTTTGAAATTTACGTAATTGGATGTATAATCTGTGTATTGTTATGAAACGACACTCCGACCATTTGGTTCTACAGAACAATTGATACGAATCATGCGAGAAGAGAGAGATCGTTTCTATTAAAATCAACCATTCGATCGCGTAACATGAAGCTTTGAAACTTGCACTGGAGCAGACAAGCGTATAATCGTCAATAACCCCAGAATCTATAATTACACATAAATTAATGTCGACTCGAGGTTATTGTTACAGCTATGAGCTGACTATATCTGCTTCATTGAAAAGACCGAGAATGACAAGATATTAAGTGAATTATAATCAGGAAGAATTATTTTACTTTCTCACTGCAAGAAATACTTAAACAAAGTTTTAATAAGCAATATTTATTCCATGTACAATAAAGAGCTAAAAAAAATGTGGCTATAAATGGATTTGAACATTACACGCTTTTCGTCATGCGAGTAATCGATCTTCCCAATTAACAGCATCACTTTCGGACCGTAGATTACGCATTTCGTCAAAGTTTATTTAGAAGTATTAACTGATATTCTTAACCCAGTAATTATCTTGATCATTTGTTAACTATTTGAATAAACAATTAATTTTTTGACACGTTGCATTATTTGGTACTTTCATTTTGCTCTGAAAAATACCTGACGATTGAATACGATATAACAGAGATGAATGTACTTCATAAATGTTTTTTCTTATGATTTTCAAATCACCACCGTGTAATTACGTATTAAGATGATTAAATAATTACAGATCTTTTAGTGTATAAAAGTAAATTGTAGTCTTAATGTTTTTCATAGTTACCAATTTTGCGAGCCCGGAAATATGTATATGTATGGAAACGAAATGGAAACAAAAATTATTTACTTCTCAAATAGCACACCAAAGTAAAGACGTCTATTAATAAATATCTAAAGAAGAGCCTCTTACGTGTTTTTACGACACTTCACTTAGAAGTTTATGATATTCAAATCGAAACTAATAGCAAAGAAATTGCACGAAAATGGAGTATCCCTTAAGTAATAGAAGGGTTAAAAACGCAGCATCTCTACGTGTGTGCTCTCTGCACACAGTATATTCATGTATAATATACGTGTACAAAATATGTGTGTGTGTATATATTATACGTCTCATGTGTGAAACTTCCAAATAGAGACTTTACTATATTGTATTGTAGACTAGATTGTCTTTGTACAATCGACGAATTCAGCCGCTCGATCACGGCTAGCATAAGTCAATAGCCTCGCCGCTAATGATACTTGCGAAGATCGCTCGGGCTCGATCAACGGACGACATCGGCTTATCGACGTCGCGACACCGATGGTGCAGTTCATTATTCTCCGGACACTCGCCAATCTTCCTCTCAAGATATGTTACCGGGATCGGCATCATCGATCTTACGTCGCTCTCAGATTTGACAAACTTTTGCGCACCGTCCACGATGTATTGCGGCAATTCAATATCCACCTTGTAGCCCCGTTTGAGGTTCTCTGATTTAGTCTGCCTAATGACGGATGTTATGCATCGCTTAATGTCTGCGCTTACGATTTGTTGCGATTCCAATGTCCCATCGTACGGATATTTGCCGGCAACGTTCTCCAATAGCTCTAGAAGCCGATCAAAAGATAAGCATATCTCATCCAAGGACTGCTGGCTGACTAGCAGGTAACCTCTAGTCTCGTTTTCTTTCTTCTGCAGAGCACATTCCAGTTTGACCAAATTGTCTTGTGCCGATCGCAGATTCACTTCGGCGGCTTCGCGGCGTGCTCGTTCTTCAACAAGTAAAAGATCGGTTCGTTTGGTCTCTTTCAGAAGACGATCGTGTTCTGCTTGAGCTTCCGTCAATTGCTTGAGAATACATTGAATTTCTTCTGAATCACTCTGCTGGTCCACACTTTGCATACCAACATCTACCTTAGTAGAATCAAAACTCTTTAAACTTGTCTCGTCGGCACATTGCACGATATCTTTGTGTTTCGATTGTGCTCCGACATCGCAATCGACGTGATTCACTACGGGCTGGATACGAGACTGAAGATCTAAATGAAGAGAAACCTTGGGTATCGTTCGTACATTGTTGATAATCTGCGAATGAATTGAATCACGTTGTTGAGTTATATCGCGAAAGTCTGGCTGTAAAGGTCGAATCTTCATTTTTGTCGACAGAAGCGATATTGGAACTGTCCTTCTTGGTGGAATTATCTGACATGGTCGCTTTGTGTATTTAGTAAAGACACTTCGCGCTCTCAAAAGCTTCGCAGTGTCCTCGTTCTCCCTACCTCTTCGAGTATCGGTCGATGCGATTTTCTTATCCTTTGGCGTTAATCCCATCCACTTATATTCCGATTTTCCCTCAACATCATTCTTCACTAATCTTCTCATCACCTCCGTCGCGAGCTCGTCGTTTAGATTCACGTTCTTCCTCACGTCGAGCACTGTCAGCGTGCTATTCTGATCAAGTAAGTTCAGTAAATCCGCGCCGATTTGATCCGTCAAGCCACAATGCTGAAGATCCAGCGCTTTCATCCACAAACTATCGCGTATTGCTTCAATCATTTCCATAACGGCGCAATTCCCCAGATGTGGATTATCGTTCAAAGTCAGCCGACGTAGCCCAGGCATCGTCTCGAAATTGGGCTCGCGATACCTCAGCGATTGTTTCCAGGTATCGTGGTACAATGCCAATTTCTGTCTTGAGAGTGCGGATGCTAATGCGCTGCCGCTGCTCGGTGTGAGATCACAGTAACTGAGATTCAATGACCTCACGCTGCGAATATCCGCTATCGTTCGGCAGATCAATTCGCAGCTGTTGTCCCCGATGTAACAACGTCGAAGAGATAAATGATGTAAAGTCTGTGTTCCCGACAGGCCAACGCAGAGCACCGCAATGCAATCCGGTGGAAATGGGATACCTTCGAGTTCTAAGTGCGTGAGATTGGGTGAATTCCTTACACATTGGCCGATACTTTGTGACAGCCACTCCAACAAATAACGTGTGAGAACCACCGGAGCTTTACCCATTGCTCGCGCTTTGTCCTCGGAATTAATCTCTTCTAATGGTTTGCGACATTGATACCTGATAGAAACTTTATAGCATAAGTATATATAATTCTTTATATCGAGATTATGACAAATTTAAGAACGAAATTATACTTTGCTGATATCTTTAAAATATTTTTTTGTAAGTTTAAAATGTATTTTTAAATGAAAGATTAAAAAATTAAGATAAAAAAGAAATAATTTTAAAAAATTTAAACCAAATTTAGCATATATAAAAAGAAACATAACTCTTAAATGTATACGCAAATTTTTAATCACAAGCACCTAAAATAACACCGTCAAATTTGAAAAATCAGTACGTAAGGGTCAATTAAGGAACATTAACAATAAAAGATGATATAAAAAGTATTAAAGTCAATTCAATTTGCAACCTGCTATGCACGCTGATCGATTTGAGCGAGCGATCGAGGGAAAGTGAGTTCAAGATCGGTCTCCAGTCGTCCATTTTGATACGATCGGTAGTAAAGTCCAGATTATGTGGCAAGGTCACACATATCACCGGCAACGGTCGTAATCGTTGCTGCTTACACAATTCCATATAGCAACTGGCAAAGTTTCTGCCGGCCGGAATCGCCATTCTTCGTGGCGAACCCGGTCCGACCGCATCGATCTTCCGTCGGTGTCGCGACGGAATTTCTCCCTCGAGCGTCGTAATGGTGCCGATAATCTCACCTCCAGAATTACGAACTACCCCGTCCGTTGCTGTAAATCGATATAATATAGCAACAAATCATATTTCTAGACACATACTTGGCTTAAATGCCAAAATATATTTAAAACTCAGTTTCTCTGTCGAGAAACAAGAAATTTACCTTTGCTGTTGCTGCTTTGCTTGAGGATCAACCGGGATCTCACCTCGAAACGTCATTTGCACTATCAGATTTGCAATGGAAATAATTGCGAGAATCGGATTCGTTAAAAAGTATATTATTATGAAAGCATCGATGGCGTTTTCTCCTTGATCGTTTTCTTGGGGATTACGATGATTATTTGCTGGCCAACCTATCTAAAACCGATGAAAAATATCCCTGCATAGAACAAGACGAATCTATAAACGAAACACGCGCACGAACAGACTGAAGATATCGTCGCTTGAGATCGTTGCATACATATATACAATACATACTTTTAACTTATTGCCAGATCGAGTTTGCATTTGAAAAATTGTAATAATATAATTCTGGTAATTTTTTGAAGCAGACAAACAAGATGAAACAAAATTCCCTCCGTGTCTTGTATGGTATTCAAGGAAGATTATAATAATATTGTATATAATTAAAATATTTTTTAAGTACAAATCATGCATATTTGCACATCAAATTTCTTTAGGCTCTTATACATTGAAATTAAATTTTAGCAGATTTATAACAGGACATTGAACATGGTAGAAATTATTAATTTTATTAATACATAATTATTTTTTATTATTCAGATATTGTTATCTTTTATATCATGAATCATTTCTCAGACCGCCTGTATCCTTGGCCATGGCGAGATATACTACGCCACTACCTCTGCCTACAGTCGCACCGACGACAAATTCCGCAAACAACGCAACAACACCACCTCGACAAGAAAACGAGGACGGTATGCAAGTTTCGCATTTAAATACAATTGTTACGCTTATAAAAAGTTATTCACATTTTTTAAGATAATAATAAAAAAATAACACTAGTAGAGCTGAGTAAAAAATCAGTAAGAAATATGTATAATAAATATTCCTTTTGTCTGTTTTATTCGTCTTAAGAATGTTTAATAGATATTTCAAAATAATGAAAAAATTATTTAAAATTCACAAATTATTCTAAATCGCATTTAAAAGTAATACAATAAAAGAGAGAGAGGGAGGAGGGGGAGAGAGAGAGAGAGAGAGAGCGACAGTTTAACATTTGTATCATAAGTTATTTCAATAAAGATAGTATTTTTTAAATCTGTGCTTTAATAGAAACATATGGAAATGTATTACGAAATAAATGAAAAAAATCTCAATTTTTTAATATAAGTATTGTACTTTACGTATTCAAGATTATTTATGTAAACTTACATTACGATGCAAAAATTAATTGTCCAGTGTATAAACAAAATATTTATTTACATACGTTTGAGAGCGCCAATAATCAGTCAAAGTTAGAGAGAGAGATATTATGAATATAATATATATTTTTAATTTTTTAAATTTTAATTATCTCAGATGTGACAGATCGATTGTGGTTAATGTCCGAATGTTTCGGCGCTCAGTCACATCATAAGATAATTAAAATTTTTTTAATTAAGAATATATATTATATTCATAACATCTAACTTTGACCGATTATTGCGCTCTCAAACGTATGTATGTTGTACATTTACACGGTTTGATCTTAATTCTTATTTGAAAATATTTATTTGTTAAAAATCTTTGTATTTAATGTGAATTTCAAGTTATTTTTATTATTTCAAGTTATTTCAGTTATGGAAATTTTATATTTGAATGAAGAAGAAGCTTTGCATCTAAACAGGAAACGCTTCCGAGGACAGTATAGATGTAACAAACGAGGAGCCGTTGACGCCTCAACGAAGCGGATGCACCCAGCTTCCACCGGTGCTGCCGTCCTTATACTCACCAGCAAGTGCTGAAACGGTTTACGAGACCAGCGCGAGATTGCTCTTCATGGCAGTCAAATGGGCGAAGAATCTTCCCTCCTTCGCTGGTCTGCCATTCAGAGATCAGGTAACAATTTTCCAACCAAATTCGTCGATAACAATTTATTTGTATTCTAATACTATTATTATTAATAATCTAATGCATTTATTATTAATTTAATATATCCTTATATATTTTAACATGATTTTATTTGATGATTTATTACGATGTACATGAACAGTAATCGTAACAGTAGAAATAAAAAATTAGTTAGGTCAGCAAATACATATCTACGTATCTTTGTATCAATGCGACAGATAAAGAATAGGATGCCGGTATAGTGGGCGAAGGTTTAATTATTATTTTAAATCTTATAACAATTATCAGATACATTGGAGGAAAATTCATACATATTTATAATAGTGTTCTAACCAGATGTAATGACACTGTTAAATAAACCGCAAATCTACTGTATTTACTGCGTAGGTAATTTTACTGGAAGAAGTTTGGTCGGAGCTGTTCCTACTAAATGCGGTTCAATGGTGTCTGCCACTTGAATCTTCGCCTCTCTTTAGCGCCGCTGAGCTTACTGCTCTGACCCTCTCGCCTCACCCGCATCCGCATTCGGGGTTGCATCTGCAAACCACTACGGGGAAGCCCAGCCAAGTGGCGGCGGATGTTAGACACTTACACGACACCCTGCAGAGATACAAGGCGGTCATGGTCGATCCTGCGGAATTCGCTTGTATGAAGGCCATCGTTCTCTTTCGCCCAGGTTAGTAATTCTTGTCTTTAATTTATCTCGTTTTGCACAACGCTGATTTTGCGGTTTATTTTTAACGTTCCACTTTTTAATTTATTTTTCTCAGCATTTAATATAAACTGTATTCTTCATCTTCGCGTCGTTTTTTATACGAAAATTAATCTGCTTGATTTCAATAAGAGTGCAGTTACGAATATACACATTTATATAAGTTAGTTTAATTTAACTTCAAAGAATTGCTTAAGACCCTAAATATGATTACACAACAAATAAAGAATAAAACCTTTAACGATTAAATTGGATCTTGGTTGCTTAGATAATTCAATGAATTTAATACTACATATTTAGTTATTTAAACAGCGCGCCGAAATGATTATTTAATTTTGTACACTTGCGACACGCACTCTCAGAAACCAGATTTTTCCAAATTTACAGAAACTCGCGGTTTAAAGGATTCGAGCCAGATTGAGAACTTGCAGGATCAGGCGCAGCTAATGCTCGGACATCACGCACGTGCTCAACAACCAAATAGTCCAGCTCGCTTCGGTAGATTGTTGTTGTTGTTGCCGTTGCTGCGAACAGTTCCGGCTGCAAGAGTGGAATTGATCTATTTTCATAGGACTATCGGCAACACACCGATGGAGAAGGTCCTTTGTGACATGTATAAAAACTAAACATTTTAAATACCAAAGGACTTTGCTACGAACATCACATAACAAAACATGATCCAAAAGCCAAATAATTCAATAGAAGCAGGACGAGATTTATGAAAGGCAAAATCTGCAGTCATCGAAGAAAAACAGTAAAAACACTAACAGACGAAGCTTTTTTTAAATGAAAGGATCAAGGAGCAGAACGCGCGAACTTCTTTTCGACACGATCAGGCCTAAGGACAAAGTCCTAAGTCCCTCTGTGATGATCGTGAGAATTTCGATTGGCGAATATCTCTATCGTACAAACGCGAAGCACTGAAAAGAATGGCATCGCTAACGAATAAAACGGCAACTAAAGTGGACCGAGGGACACTCAATTGCGGCGTAAATATACACATATAGATATATACATGTATTTATTTATTATAGATATATTTATCGGGCGTTAGGCTCGACACGTTGATAGCACATTTTCTGTTTTTCATAGGAAGTCGATGAATTAATCCGAAAAGCGGGGATACTCATTACTAATTTCATTTTTTATCTTTTAAATTTATCATTGAATTAGAGAAAAAAGTGATAGGGTGGGCACGAATTTTACAGCTTTTGTGAACGTCAAAAACGCAAGTACGGAAATCGATTATTTTACAAAACATATATTTGTAAATTCATATTAAGATTTATTTAAAAAATTAACTCAATTAAAATATTTCTTTTTCTTTTTTGCTCACAGACAAATTTATGCATCAGAGATACGATTAATAAATCATGACGATATATACAGTCAAAATTAAATTACATTTTGAAATAACCGAAGCGGCAATATGAATTCATAAAATTTAATGTTGCATAACATCGATTAAAATCAAATTATTTCCATAATGAAAATAATTTTGTTTATAAAGATGTGTGAAATTGATTTTTCTCGGCGATGAATGCGTCCGCACTTTCTCTGTATATTTCGTGTTGTGATACTATTTGCTGTAAAACGTATTCTCGGTGATATATATATACATACATATATATATATTGTAACGATTACTTGTAATAAAAATAAATCCGATTAACTAAGTTATCATCACTGACTCACTCTTTCATAGACTTATTACTACTATCTTATTTGTTACTACATGTTCATTAATGTAAACTATATTAACTTTTACAATATCGATCAAATATAATTTTAGGTAAGCATCAATTATAACGCAATTTTGAATAAATATATTTAATACATCTCAATTTACTCATAGTGTGAAGATGCCAAGTAACAACATTAAAAATAATATGGTACAAACATAAGTTCCATTTATATTTTTACATATAAAGGTAAAATAAACTAGAGAAATAATTACAATATAGAAGATAAAGACATATTTTTAAATAAAATTGTAAAAAAAAAGAGTTACGCAGCAATAGACTGGAAGAACTGCTAATATAGGATCTAATAATGCACTCTTTAATAATACTTTATAGTAAATTAATTAATAATATAATTAATCGCAAAAATAAGATTTAGAAGCAAAAGTATAAGTCATATTCCCTAAACGGAAAGCAAAAACTCAAAGATTATCAGTGTATTTGGCGAGGAGGAGTAAATTTTTAGGGGACCTGCGAGCCTTTTAAGACACGATTTGACTTTGGTGGCTACAACGTAACAACGTATATTTGCACCGACACAACTTCGTCATGGAGGATGTTGTATAATGTATATATTTATTTATCACTGCATAATCCCTGACTTCCCCTGCCGACGAGGATTTTGCCACATGGCAGTTTGACGGTCCCCGGCGGAGTTATCCCCTCGGCTTATAAATTACATCGGGGCTTGAGCGAGGTTTAAGGGTTTGCTTAAGTTGTCAAAGCAATCGGGGAGTTAAACGCCCCGTCGCTGGGGGTAAGCGACCTTAATGCTTTTTCGAGCGGATCTATGAAACGCGCCGAGTCAGGCAGCGAACCGCAGAAAATAATTGAGGGAAACGGGTAGACCTTAAGTATTCTTCTGAATTTTTTTAAAAGAAAAAGCACCTGGCAAACTTTGACCAACTTGCATCATGCTGGTATATCTTTAATATTACATATTACATTCTCTTTTTTATTTTTATAGTTATTTATGTTGGGAGTGCACTTTGTTAGTAATTATCTAAAAAAAAGTGCCTGCACTTTATATTTAATATATACATATTTAATATTTAATGACGATACTATTAGTAATAAGATATCAAAAAATACAAAGACAAATTATTTCTATAAATTGCTTCTATATGATACATGATGTATCTCCTGCTATACAAATGTTTTAAAAGAAATGATTTATAGAACTGTTAAATTATTGAATTGTTGAATTATTGAATATTGTGTAGAAATTCGTAATTGTAAAAGAACCTGTTTACTAATTCCAATAATCTGTTTCTGTTATTGAATTGTCATAACTTCTGTTATTCCTGAGAACAGAAGACTGTTATTCCTGAATTTAGATATTAAAAATGAGAACAGACAGAGAAAACACATTAAATTATTATTGCTTGTTTCACAAATCTATCTTACCTTATCGATATTGGAAAAGAAGCTTGTGAAGATTTCTCAGTAAATTAATTTTATCATGATTAAATTCACACTAAATATACAGAATACATCAACCACGAAACTGAGGATTAAGACAGCATTTCTTGTTTACCGCAATCGTTGAAGTGAGACGACAAATCGACACTTTCTCCGACTATCTCAAACTCCTTTATGATCAACCCTTTTTCCGCCCTTACAATCGTAAGTCCCGTGGAGGTTGCGCAGATCCGGTAACGAATTTCGATACCCTCTAGCGAAAAAGGGCGAGTATAGGCATGGCGGAACGAGGAGGCGGAAGGTAGTGATAGTATTGACTCGCTTTCGCGGATGTGCGGAGGCGGAGTTTTCGACCTATCTACCTCGGCATTCTCCGTGTATCCCCTACTTCCATTCCGCTGCCCCCAGGAAGCAGGGAAGCCGGGGTCGTGCCGGGTTCGAGCGGGTCGGTCGGGTAGAGTGAGACCGACTCTCGTCGCACTGTCAACCCCCCACCCACGCGACGACAAAACTCCCGCTGAAGGGTGATCCAGCAATGGCGGCAGGACTTGTTGTATTTCGCTTTCGAGGTGAACTCTCTCCATTCCCTTCTACCTTCTCGATTCCATCCCTGTCCCGCGTGCTCCCCCGATCTCGAAGCCCGGATAGGTATGGTGGCGGAAGGTGTGGGTAACGGTGAGAAAAAAGAGAGCTGCACAGCGAATTGTGGGGTCCTAGAGGAATGAGGAGGAATACCAGGAGGGAGAGAGGAAGGGAGAGAGAGAAGAGAGAGAGAGAGAAGAGAGAGAGAGAGAGAGAGAGAGAGAGAGAGAGAGAGAGAGAGAGGAGAGAGAGAGAGAGGAGGAAGGAAGGGAGAGGAGAGGAGAGAGAGAGAGAGAGAGGAGGAAGGAAGGGAGGAGAGAGAGAAAGTGAGAGAGAGGAGGGGGCTAAGAGAGGGTGAAAGACTATATCGCTTGGGACAGGAAGCAGCAACCTCCATTTATTTTATTACATTATCATACCAACTAGGCGCTCGAAAAGTGGGATTTTAAAGCAACGGTTCTCAAATCGTTCCGTGATAACTTTGGACTTTTGCCGACGATATCATTCGCTTTAGCTCCATTCTTTTAGCAACAAATATTTTTGTTTTTTAAATCTAGATATTTTAATTTCTAATTGAGGTTCTCTAAGCTCTCATATATGATAAAATAAAATTACATAAATATGATACATAAATATGATTGGTAAGATAAAATTGAAACATTTTATAAGAATAAAGGCAATTATTTCTTTATATTTCAAAGACACCGGAAAGAATGAAAGAAAGAGAAAGAGAGAGAAAGTGAATAATTAAATTAATTAATTATTATGTACGTTTTCTTTCTCAAAGCTGTCTTTACGTATCTAAAGGGTGGAGTTAGTTAAGTCGTACCGATACATTTAAACCTCCATTGTGTTTTTTAAATGAAACATTTTTCTCAAAAGTAACGACACAAATGTGACGCTAATAACATGGTTAGTATTGTCATTTTTTGTTTTCAAACCATTCGTTCACTAGTAATATTCAAAATTGATTTTGTTCGGTGTTTAATAGTTAAATTTCTTTTGTGTACAGCATCAAATTAGCAAAATATTTGTAAGTTATGTTGCTATTAGCAAATTTGTGAAAAATTTAGATAGTTGGGTAAATCGTAACTTGTCGCTGATACCTTTATATTGCACCTACATTTAAGATAAAATAACATATTGGCCTAGTTTATATCGTATACTTGATACGGGTGCTAACTAGTAACTTAATTTAACTAGTTAACTTAATTTCAGCAATAAGTGTAAACATATACTATATATAATATGAGTATTTAATTAATCATTTTGATGCACATTGTATCAATTTCGTACATCACTCTTTAAATACATTGCTGAAATTGAGATAATTTGATAGAAAGTTACTAGTTATATCCGTAACAAGTACATGATGTAAACTAGGCTATTAAAATTGAGTAATTAAATAATACTTATCACTAGTCTTTATATTATACCTATATTTAAGATAAATAGCATGTTAAGTTTGAGTAATACTTTATAATTACTATATTTCGATATTTATATAAGAAAAAGTATGTTTGTATTGAGTCTTTTTAAGATAAGTTACTAAAAATTATTCATAGATATTATAAAAAAATTTAGATTTTTCTTTGTAAAAACTAATGACTATTTATTAGAAATACGATTTAGGAACCCAATAGTGCAATTTAATGGCTCAGTCTCTAAATCATATCGAAAGATACTTTATCGAATCTGATTTAGACAATAATCCAATGTTTATTTTCATAAAAATGTCGTTTTCTTTTATTATCAATAGATCAAAGTTTGATGTGTAGGTACAAAAATATTCTAATCTCTTCTCTCTCTCTCTCTCAGTGCTTTTATTACAATTTTGTTTAAACGTTAAAGTGTACGATATAGGCGACTTCCCTCTATATGCTTCAAAAAAGGATATCTTTTTAAAAACATATAAAGTTTATTAGGCAATTATTTTTATTAGGTATTCTTATTGTTATTAATGTCAAAAGATTAATTGAACGATGTTATAATGACATATCTGAAAAATTTTTCATTCGAGAGATTATCTTTATATTTACAAGTAATATTAATAAAATAATAAATATACATATAATGATAGTAGAAAGAATTTCTGATGAATTAATTGTAAATGAATGTATTAGAAATGCATTCGTAGTTTCTAATAAGATTATTATATTTAGTATATACCCTATTTTGTAAATCAAGCTTCAAAATTCGTTTAGAGAAAACATTAAACAACAAAAATCCAAGACGATATATGCAAAGTTTGAATTGAATTGTGACAACAAAAAATCAATATCTTTATTTATAGCTTCCTGTTGTAAATGTTAATCATGAAAATAAAAATGTAAATTATATTATAATTTCTTTCTGTCGTAGCGTAAATTAATACAGAGAGGTCATTATAGTTTGTATTTAAAATTCATGTCGCAATGTGCCGATGCAAGTGTTGTTTCACGCTTTAACCAATTAGCTTCTCATTAAATCCAAGCTACTGACTCAATTAAATCAGTGGCCAATCTGAAATTTTTCCGTGCGCTTTTTTGACGAGAATTGATATGGAAAATTTGCGAATGCGCAACCAGACTATTCCGCCTGTTGTGACAATACGCAATCGTGTGTT